GCAGTGCAGTATTTTGTTACAATTAACGTAACCACGGAAACATTTATTGTATTCTTATTGTCTTTATCAATTTAGCTTGTCTATTGTGTTTAGGTAAACTAATTATTTTGTTACTATTTGTAAACTGTTGAAATAATAGTGGTGGTCGGGAGCCTGTAAATCCTGGTCGGAAATGTTGAGTGCTGGACGGGACCGTCCACCGCCGACCAGCGTGGTGACATCCCTGTAATAGTATATATAGGATAGTAAAAAGCAAATAGTGAATACCATCACCAAAAACTAATTTCAAATCTTGGACATGAAACTAACAATTAATTTTATTTGCGCTTATTTATTTGTTTTGTAGTCTTTTTATCCAAGTATTGTTGTTGAAAGGTGAAGAGAATGTGAAGGCCAAAGAGCTAGAGTAAAATTCCAAGTAAATCTCTGTGATTCCACTAGGACTTCTTTCAGATTAAATCATGTGTTCTAAAAAAAATAATTTCCCCTGGATATCTACTGTAGTTGACTTTTCCATTAATGTTTTTCATTAAACCAACTAACCATGACTGCTCCCATCATAATAAATCTGGGGTTATTTTTGTGAATATGTTAGTTAGTTAGTTAGTTAGTTTACTGATAGTGGAGGATTTGGTATAATACACAATTGTACTGTATCAATGAAAGATGATTTTATTTTTATATTAATTCACAGTAGGCCTATATTTGGATTATGTGATAATTCTAACCAGGACCACAAGTTAATACACGGAGGTCCTGAGTTGGAAGAAGCCATTTCCTTGAGATCTGTTGAATTGAGCCTTAAAATATCTATTGTAATTCTATTTTGCTGCGAGTACTGTATACTTTTATTTATAAGAACCAGTCCAGGCTTTATTAGTGTTTTTGCTGATTTTAAGCTCAAAATGTTCTTTTGTTCTTATTTTTACTCACTTTTCAAACCTACAAAATCATTTATTGTACATCAGTATTATTACTATAATATATAGAGGGTATTTCATTGCCACAGCTACTGTAAATTAAATAAGATTTGTTAAGTTTTTTTTCCTAAATTAAAAAAAGTAAAAACCCCATTTGACATTTTTACCTCAGCCTCAATTTGTTTTTATTTTTAAGCAATTTCAGCCTCAGTTTTCTCATGAAAAAAAAAATCATAGAGATAATGTACCCAGCTACACTAACTTCTGGGAGATTGATAATAGAGTACTGTAGGCCCTATATTAGTAAAATTATGAAAAGATTTTAGATTTGGGTAAGATCGTGTATTTTCTTTGAGATTTTTGCCTGTCCGAGGGAGTGTGGGAGACCTTCCTGATTTCTGTATTTGTCTGCCATATGGGAGACTTAAGACCCCTGTAATAAAGTTGCTTTTGCAAATGGACAACAATTATGAATTTGCATTCTGCATTTAATTAATTGCTTGATCCCAATCACAGTCTTTATCAGGAAATCATGATTTAATAAACAAGTTGAGAAATTCCATTTGGACCTGAACCAAGTTTATGTACAGTATTACTGTAATTGTATCAGTGCATTTCAAGGCCGCTTTATACAGAACTTGCTTTGTCGGAACTCAATTCATTCATTTACAATATTGAAAGCCACCAATTTACTAAATTAGTATACTTGTAGTGATGTAAATTAATGCAGAGAAAGCTAAATGTAATCTGAATGTATCGAAGCCACAAGTGCACGTATTACTGTATGCACGGTGTGCCTTGTTTGTAACAGTACATGGTGGAAGGAAATTCTTAAAAATCATTCAATTCATTCTATTGAGACCAGAACAATGAAGGACTATCTACTGTCTATAAACAATGGAAACTCATTCTTAATTGTACTGTAAGGTGTTCTATGGTGAGAAGATGGCCTTCTGTAGTGTTGTTTGTGAATAAGATTTTTTTCTAGTCCTATTTGATTTTGCAATGCATTGTTTGTAGGCATTAAAACCATCTGGTAGAGTGAATATTTTGAAATCAACAATTACCATATGAATCTCTGTATAATAATTAAAACTGACACAATCTGCTGACATTGTTAAGTTAAATTATGTAATTTATATAATAATTATAATTCATTATTATAATTTATAGTATGATTACAGAAGAGTCTAAACTTAAGTTACTGTTGCCTGTAAAATCTCATAGGTACAATAGCCTACTATTGGCCTACGTTTGTCTCTCTCCACCCAGGTGTATAAATGGGTACCGGCATATGCTGGGAAGGAAAAACAGACTGCAGTACGGGAGGAGTGGTGAACCCCCCACAGCCTTGCACATTCTGGCACAAACACCAAGGAAAGAAGTGACGGAAACTCCGGCCTGAGCCCACAACTTCAGGCTTTGAACTTTACCTTCTAAGCATATTGCACAGACACATTAATATCAAAACCTACAGTAAATTTGTGAAAGGTAAACTAGGAGGTAGAACCTGTAGAGGGTCCTTTTATGTCTTGTACTGTATGCCTATTGGTAATCTGTACTTTATCTTCATCATACTTTGTCTTTTACTTTAACATCCCAGCTTACAGAGTACTGTAGCTAGCTGAGATTATTATTGTGGCAGTCCCCAGAACATTAAGCTTTCATGGCTTCAATCTGTTTATTCATTCAGATTCAGAAGATGGTAATTTCTACTCAAGAGATTATTACAGATTTAGATACTCTACCAATGGATGAAGTTGCACAAAGTACATCATTACTGTAAATCCCCAACATCACTTTATTTATATTTTTTAATTGTTAATTCAAAGTTTATCAAAAACAATGGACAAATAGATGGAAGTTGTTTAGTTGAAGGCCTACAGTATACACATGTACATAATTATTATTGGATCACAGACATTATAACGTATTTAGGGTCCTTGATTAGATGAAACCAGACATGAGACTTGGATTTGCTACTATTCATCGTTTTGAAAATTTAGTAGTAATATATAGAGCTCTCCAAACATACAATTTTGATTTTTGTCACATTCATATTCCTATCCTAATTGAAATTTGTATTTTCCTTATCCTGTATTATTTGAATATAATCAAATTAAAGATGTTTATGTAAAATGACTGTTTGAAAGTAACATCATCCCACACAAATAAATATTAAAATGTTTTTTTTATGGTAATACTAATGGATTTGAAATGCATAGAATTACTGAATACAGATGTGTACGTAAATAATTGCCAAGGCAAAGTGCATTCTACCGAGGAGGTTTCACTTGGCTGTATCCAGGATACTGATTGCTCGTGTATAGAAGGTATTAAGTAATTGATATACGTAGGTTTTTATGATTGAGACAAATTGCATTCATGTTTTTCAAAATATTGGCTTACAGGAAATCTTGGAGCACAACGCCTTGAATGATGGCACTAGATGGAGCTACCTTAGATCTGGATGAAATCAGGTTTATTAAGAAATTTACATTTGTTAGAACTTCTTTCATACATGCTTTTAATCATTTCCGAATGCTTTTTCTGATTACAGGGAATTTTTCTTTGGAGGGCGGAAACGGAGCAGCAGTGCTGGTGGAGAAGCATCCAGCCCCCCGAAACGTGGCGGTCGTCTGAGGCGATCATTAAGCATGAAGAAACTACGGAGGAGTTTCCGGCGGAAGGATGCAAGAGTACCGACAGCGAGTAAACCTCACCAGTGGCAGCAGGATGAGAAACTGGTTCGAGCTGGCTCTTGCAATTTCTCTGTCAAAGTAAGTTTACTGTATGTTCGACTGTACTGAATTTGAGTGATATTTTTTTTTTTTCCGTTAGGCATACATATACATTATGCCAAAGGTTGCCATTAGCGAATATATCACTCGGCTACTTGTGACATGTGAAATTGATTTAAACAATTTTACAATAAATGTAATTATTTTTTTCTTGTACTGTAGTATCTTGGATCCATTGAGGTAACGGAATCTCGTGGAATGAATGTATGCGAAGAGGCTGCGAAAACTTTGCGTGATGTGAGTATAAATTATGAATTAAACAGACTACAGTATTAAACATTGTTGTTACCATAGCAATGATGTGATTCTGACCTCTGCCAATGGCCTTTTGTATTGACAAACAGAAATGGGAATATAATACAAATAATGAATGTTTATGAGTACAATGGGTAGAATATTTCATTCGGTGAAAGATTGGATGTTCTATTCAACGAGTCAATAGAACATCCAATCTTTGGCACCGAATGAAATATTCTACCCCATTGTACGAACGAGAAACATTCATTATGTTTTATACAACATATCCTTTATACATCGCCTGCATGCTTTTCTTCGAATACATTACAAGGACCCATCATCCTTTCCAAGGCAAGCATAAAACAGGCCTAGGCCTAGCTAGGCCCAGGAATCGATCAAGTTCAGCTAATAAAATAGACTCATCCACACCACTGAAGCTGGTGAAATATTATTGCCTTTTTTGTTGTTTTTGTTAATTTTTCTTGTTTGCGTTGGATTTTAGATTATTTTCGTCTTGGAGATGAAAGAGTACTATTCAACGATCGTTGACTAGTACTCCAATAACCATGGAATAGTCATTTTAAGTCAATCTCACGTAACCTGTTTTCAACCAATCAAATTAATAGAATATATACAGGTGTTGTATAATAAGATCTATTATACATTTTATTTCTATTTTATCAAAATAAAGGCTTTAAATGTTTTCTACTTCATGAGAAAACTTGTTAAACAGTGAAATAAGATTAGAAAGTCGACATATTTTAAGGTCTAAAACAATCATGATGAAAGTATATAGAAAATTCCATTTACAAAATGACGCTTTCTATCTATGCCGCCATTACTGGGACCTCCTTGGGGACCCCTGTGTGCCTGTCATGCCGAGAGCCCCCCCCCCCAACACTATGGCACCTGTAGAGGGAGAATAATCACTGTGAATGGATCGGCCTATATTACAGATAGAATATTATGGTTTATTACTAAACTTTGCGAGTTTAATCACAAAAATTGAGCGCAATCATCGTAGTTCAAAGTTCAGATGCTATTTCTTTTACTAGGTAGTAATCACTGACACTAGCGTACTACATCAAAATTAATGAGTTAATTAAAAAATGGCTTTAAACTCGCCCCACCAATATTGATAGTGAATTTGATAGTATAGCCATAGAAAAGCTGAAGTAGGTCTACTATACATGTAGCTGCATGTAGTAAGGACAGTATAATGCAGTATGGGCATATTAAGTGTTGGAGTAACTTGGGATGCTCTTTGTACAACAATAATGCTCTTGAGATTGATGGAGATGTTGTTTGTACTCTTAAGCTGTCGCTATAGCATCAGACTTTCGTCTGTTGTAGAACTCAACATTATTTTAGCAAACATAAATATTGGTAATTTATTGGGTCCAAACAAATAAATATAATGGTAGCAAAATGGTAAATTAAACTACAGTTCACCCCCTCTATCTTGAGACCACCTTTGTTTCCTCAAAATTTATGGTGGCCTCACGGTTCATTCCCCAATTAAAGGGTTAGTAAAAAAGATTGAAGATCATTATTTCTTTTAGACTTGGTCTCGGAGTTAGGGTCTTGACTTGGAGGGTACACTGTATGTTATAAATATACATAAAAGTAATCTTAAAATTTAAAAAATACAAAGCTGTAATATAAAAATAAGAAACATACACTAACCAAGTGCACAATTGAATAATTTTTTTTAAAGAGAATAAAAACTAAATTATACAATTAATAGTAAATGTCAATATTAAATTGCACACAACTAGAAAATTTTAGCGCAAAAACAAAAAGCCGTCTAAAAGTAGAAACAGTAAGTGGATAAAACACATGAAGACTGGTTCATATACAGTAGACCATATGTCCAGTCTAGTAGATTACTACTCTTGAAAGTCTGATTTATTGTAATTTAGTTTATGCTTTCACATTGAACTGTGTCCGGGTTTTCTAGGTTGTGTTATTAGCAATGATTCATGTGACTAAAAACATGAATCAAATGAATCAAAAGAAATTTGATTGCTATATTTCTGACCTTGAATAAAATAGTCTCTTTGATAATTGTTACTGTAACTAAGGTATAGACTACAGTAACTGTTAATTTAACAGTTAATCTTAACACCTTACTACAGTAGTCCAATTTACACCTTCATCTGGATAATAATGGAATGATGGTTCACATGAGTTAACACATAAGTTAATAGACTATAGTAATCTAGTTAACTAGATTTAATTTTGATGTGAAGTGTGCTAAAATACTGTACTATACCTAGCTTGAGACAGTGTCTGATAAAAGCTTTTCGAATTGTTACTTGATTCCTTAATGCTTTCAGAAATTGTTTAGACTGGCAGACAGAATCTGAGTTGTTCAAAGTTTAACAGCATACTTAATCTATCCTAAGAATATGATGGCATGTTCAATTAACCAATCAATTAATTAGTCAATCAATTCATTCCAAATATTAACTTCATCTGGTACAATGATTGTGCAAGAACAAAAAAAAAAAAACTGAATATGTTGGTCCAAGTATAGTAACTGTTTACTAATTTCCATACAGTAACACAATGTAATTTAACCTCAAGTTGCTATGGTAACATTATTATAAATCACTTTCCAGAAACTAAACATATTTTATGATTGAGAGGTTCAAAGGTTAACCAGTTCAATAAAGGTTGGTTCAAATGTAATATTTCACTGTACATTAAATGGCTTTTGTTCAAGATCCAACCTACAGGTGGAAAAAGCTGCCAAGTGGTTTATACCTTTCCAATTGTAGCATTTTTCTTGCAATTTAGCAATACTGACTTTAAGAAACCATTTCTTTTTGCTAACATTTTTTACTCAATAATTTGTAATAATTGATCATTTTATAAATATCTGTTGGACCTACAGTAATCATTTACTTACAGTTAGGTCAATGCCAATTTTCAATGCAATTTTATGCCAAACAATTGCATCACAGAATTATTTATTTTATTACAAATTTAACACATTAAGAAAGAAGAGTCATAACCATGATCGTATCAAGAGAATAATATGGTTTACATTAAGAGCCCAATATTAATGTGGTTGAACTCTAAGTACTGTAATATAACTCATACATTAGCTAAGATAATAATAGGCCTATTTAAAAATATACAACATTGAAATCATATTATGCTTAATGGCTATCTATTTTTGGTCATTATCCTAAAAAAAATAAAAATTCAAATAATTCTGTAGGATCTGTATTGTTAGTATTTTCCAGTCATACTTTCAACATTATTGACATGAGTTTACATTTTAACATTTTTCTGAATGATTCTTCAGTGGGACTATTGTTATATTTATCAGTTCATCACCGCAAACAGTAGAAATAAATAAAGGCTGGTTTGTTGATTCATTAGAGCTTCCTCATGATTTTTTGCATCACAATGGATTGTACAAACATAAATACAAGCTAGTAGCGTATCTATTCATCAGAGGCTATGTGTGGAAATGCTACACAATAGATTAATATATGGTCATTCATTAAGGCTTAGTGTATACCAGCCTATTAAATAAATTATGAAGAGTACATATTGTAATAATCATGAGTGAATATTCTAAGCAGACACTGATAGTGAACACAGATACATACAGTAACTAACACAATTCTCATTGCTTGCATAATTACTGTACTGTACATGAAATTATTTACTCTTATTATTTAACAACTTCCATCACTGATATATAATTTACAATTGTGATATTATTTTAAGAAAAAAAAATCTTATCTTCAAATTGATTTTAGACCCAAGACTTTTTGATTATTTTTGTTTGCTTATTCCAAATGAGTTCAAAAATATAAAGCCAAGTAAAGGTGGTGTACTGCACCTGTCTCTTATACACATCTAGATGTGTATAAGAGACAGATAGACTACAGTAAC